ACAGCCTATTGACCATGAGTTCCAGCTCATCGAGGCCTTCGCTAATATCGATTGGGAGCCGGTGCTACATCTCCAAGGTCCTTTCTACCCGGAACTCGTCAAGGAGTTTTTTGCAAATGTTGACGGGAATTACCCCCAACAGAAAATTGAGAGCTGAGTCAAAGGGGTAAAAATCATTATCACCAATGATCTTTTACGCTCTCAATTTCGCATCGCCAAGTATGGCACTCCTTTCACCCCTGCCAAGCCGGAACGATGAATAGCGACGGTAGCTACAACCCCGTGGATGCGGTGCAATATTTTGGCTTGCAAGGACATGAGCTAATGACCAAGAACCTTGGTCAACCACACATCCGGGCCCGGCTTTTGATGTACCTCTACTCATTCAACGTCATGCCGAGAGCAAGCGGCTACAATAAAATTCAAAGTGTCGACCTCTACTTTGCATATAGGATGCTTACCGGGCTTGATCGTTGTGAGGGGATTCCTCTATCAAGCATCATCATCAAGCAACTATGGAGCGCGGCCTTGAGCAACAATCAAGATAAGGCCTTTATTTTCCCTATCTTACTCTCTAAATTTTTTGAACATTTTGGTGTTAGCTTTAGAGGGGAAGAGGAACGGGAGACACATGTCGTGCTTGATGATAATGTTATGACACACCTTCGTTATTTCAAACCGCTGCACGGAGGACCATGGAGGTGCGTGGAGAGATTTCCTAGAGTTGTGCTGGAAGACAATGAAGAAGAGATGATGGAAGGAGGAGAAGCCCAAGGAGGGGAGCCCGAGGGAGGCCATGAGGAGCACCATGAAGAGGCGGCTCACGTACCTCAAGTCGGAGCTAATTACAACATGGACTACTTGACGAACAATTTGGTGAAATTCATACGGAGCTCGCGGTTCATCGAGGGGACTTGCAGAACCAACGGCGGGCTATCGAAGGCTTGGGAGGCCATCTATGGAACATGAACTACTATTGCCAAGAGTTGGGGCGTCATTTCAACATACCACCACCGCCACCTTACGACCCATACTTTTATTTCCCTCACCGAGAAGATGGAGATGAGGATGAGGAGTAGTTTGAGAAAAGGGAAGTGTACTAAACTTGAAACATTTTTTTTATCTAGTCTTGCTAAAACTACTTTTTGTTGTTAGTGTGCCTCTAAACATTTGTTATGTGCTATGAGTTTATTGCCTTGCTTAAATCATTCTTTGTGATCCACATGGGGACAATGTGGAATAAGTGTGGGGGGTGACTTTACTTTGAAAAATTGCTCATTTTTGGTCCATAATTTCTGAAAATAATTTTTTTTAGCAAAACCCTTGTCCTCCAAAACCTTTTTCAAAAGATTTTTTCTTAAGGTTTTAATATCTTCACAAAGAGTTTTTAAATTTGCTTAAGGACAATCAAAGCTCAAGTGTGGGGGTATTTGATAAGCGTTTTATTAACGTATTTTTATACAACAATTTATAAACGCTTTTATAATTAAAAGAATAAAACTCTCACACATATGCCTCGTTTTGCTAGAAATACTATAATTGACAATTGGACCAAATACGAGGATGAAAAGACACACGAAAGATTTTGACAAGAGAAGGTCAACCAAACACATCCCGAGGAACAAAAGAAGGAATGGAAAATACACCAAAGGGGTGAAAGCCGCCCGGCTTTCACCTAAGCCGCCCGGTTTTCACTCGCAAACCAACCAATTGCCGTCCGAAGATGAAGAAAATGCTCCGGATCCAAAGAAGACGAAAGCCGCCCGACTTTCGTGAAAGGCGCCCGGCTTTGGGCGCCGTAGAATTATTTCAATAAAACCAGCCAAAAGCCGCCCGGCATTTGGCTAAAGCCGCCCGGCTTTCGACCCCTGGAGCGGAGATGATCATTTTAAACGCACAAAAGCCGCCCGGCTTTCACGATTGTCGCCCGGCTTTCGTCTAGAACTGATTAAAATAAGCAACGGTCATCATAATCATTCGGGAGAAACTCCAAACCTCATTAAGGAGCTTGCTTCCTTGTCCAAAAATGGCCGTTGAGGACTCATTATTTAAGAGGATTGAAGCCCTTTCAACAAGATATTCCATATTCCATACACTTTACTTCCATTTTAGCATTCCAAGATCACCCCTTGGTCTTGGGAGAAGTTCTACACTTGGGAATTCCATTGTCCACCATAGCTTTGGAGTTGTAGTACTACTTTCTTATGTATTTCATTGTATTTTATCATTTCAATATTTGTAATTTCATTATGAATTGTTCTAGCTAATTTTCTATAGACAAGGTTAGGGATGAAACTTTATGCACTCTAGGTGTTTGATGTATGTTCTCAACCAAATTATTATGATCTTTCTTTTATATTTTAATGTGTATGACTACGGTGTACAACGTATGATTATATCGTTGGGTTTATTTGAGCAATTAACGTTGAGTTATAAACCGTGCACTTAAAGGTTTAGACATATTCTAATTGTGGATAGAAATATACCTTAATTGAATATGGTGGATTTTTATAATGTCCTAATCTTCAATGGGGTTAATTTTAGATGAATGTGAACCGTGACGGGATTCACACGTATAATTAATCACAATCTCGCTGCCGTAAGAGGAGTTAGAATACTTTAGTGACATTCCACTCATAAGAATTGGTGAAAGAACATATATTCATTACTAGGAGTCGTTTAGGAGTAATCCCGAACCCTTGGTTGCTTTTATTATCACTTAAAAACCAAAAATCTATACTCTTCTACTAAGTCTTTTACAATTTCTATTCTCAACTTTTGAATCATATAAACAACGTTTCCTCGTGTTCGACCCGATATTTCTATCGGATTTTTTGCGGACAAGAGTGGAAATGAGGTTCAGGTGCTGCCATGCCAAATGCTAGAAAGATTTGATGTAGCTACATACTTCAGTTGGGGTACTGCCACTCTAGCATATCTTTATAGGCAGCTTTGTCGAGGTTGTCAGAGTGGGAGCACGGAGGTTGGGTTTTGTTGCTTTTGTTACAGGTTTGGTCATGGGAGTACATTCACATTGGGCATCCAATTATATCACGATACCATGGACTAGATGGACTCCCACTACATGACCAGCCTCAATGTCTCCTTGGACCACATCATCGACGGGGCGAGGACCCTCTGGGGCGTCGGTATGTTTTAGAATATTATATTTATGTTATTGTATGTTTTGAATAATTGTATTAATTATATTTATATTAATATATACTACACGAATGGTTAGATGGCTATTTCCTGATCTTTGTCGCACATCATCGGCTACTGTACTCGGTTTCTATAGTGATGTATTTGATCGCATGTCGGATGATCAGGTTTGTGGTAGATAATATAGCATTAGCTATCATATGAAAAGCAGTAATACTAATTTTAATGCCTTTTCAAACAGATTACATGGATGCCATACACAGCCCAAATGTTAGAGGAGCTGCCCCTGGCAGGACGAGAGCACTATGATATATGGCGAACACATGTCACGTTGATATGTTTTGACATTGTTGAGCTTCATTTGCCAGATCGTGTATTCCGAAAGTTTGGCTATGAGAATGTCATTCCAGCACCTGTAGACACATGTGTAGATCTTCATAAGCTGGATAGACGTGGGAAGCCTACATAAGATTAGTCACTCAAACATGTCAGATACGTGACTATATGGGAGAGGCGAGCGGAGCTTGTTGTGAATGGGACGCCTACATTACTCCCATTTGTTTCTGTAGACGACATGAGATGGTATTACAACATCACGCGGTTGTTTGTCTCTCCTTCTTTCAGACTCCCTACTCACCATTACCAGTCTAGTTCTATGGCTTTTACACTTGACGGTGAATGTGCTACTAATTACTAAAGTATTTCATGTTCTTTATTTAAGATTTTTATTTATTTCAAAATAATTATAATTCATGTTTCACATTCCAGACATGGGCTTTGCAGCGTATACATGAGCGAGCGACTGCCACAGTGAATGATACGCATGACGTGGACACATACAATTAGGTTCTGACGGGCATTGCTTCGTTGCGTTCAGATGTGTTGGATAACTTATACATATGACACCCTCTCAGGGTTATATGACATGGACATCATCATCATTAGCGATGGCTTCTAAATATCAGACTCCGCGTGATAGAGTTGTTCTTCAAGCACGACAGCTGCGTAGGTGTATGCCTCAACAGCCACATCTCCATGACCAAGACGATCCAGAAGACCATGAAAACTTGTAGTCTCTCTATTATTGAACTTACTCATGTACACCAAATGTTGTAGAAACGCTATACTTTTTTACGTATCTGCACCTGCAAACTAATGGATATTGTGTTATTAGTACTTTTTCATTTGTTTATGAAGTGTTGATGTGTTTGGTTATGAATATTGGATGTCTAAACTGTGTTTTTATACTGTGTTTCGAAGCAAATGTGTCGTTTTGTATCATTTTTACGAATTTTTGTTTTGCATGTGTTCTGTAAGTTGCCAAACGGTGAATGCGACAATCGAGATCGATTTAAGATGGAAAACGAAAAATTTCGCCACCGGGGGCGCCCGAGTGGCCCTGGTTGGCCCCATACCGGTGCCGATCTGAAACAGAACTCTTGGGTGTTAACGTTTTTTGGAAGGTCAAAGTCGCCAAAGCGTTTGACGACTTATAAGTCGGCAAACGGTTTGGCGACTTATAAGTCAGCAAACCGTTTGACGACTTTGCCCAACCCAAGTTAAGCCCGACAATGTATTGGTAAATACTTTTAATCCAACATTATTTCAATAAATAATTAATTAAAACGCATTACTCCCTCCGTCCTAAAATGATAGTCCTCTATTTCTTTTTGGGATGTTCCAAAATGATGGCCCTGTTTCCCTTTTTGGAAAGAAAGATGTGTTCCATACCATTTCACTTTATTATACTCAAATCTCAACCACAACTTTTACTTTTTCAACCACTTTATTAAAATTTGTGCCCAAAAGAAATGAAACTATCAAATTGGGAGAGAGTAGTTTGGTTCCATATTTTATGTTCTTGTTTAGGAAAGCAATAGTAGACGTTTTTTGGGTAAGTTTTGAGGACACTCAACACTCGCAGTTACTCAAGAACACATTCGCTTTGCGGAGGGAAAAAAAACAATGGCCGTCTCTTTCTATCCTGCAATTTCTTCTGGTCTACATACCCGAGCTGGGTTCACACAGTCATCTTTAAGGTTCTTCTTGGTCATTACTGAAAATACTAGCAATAGGAAATTATATTTAATGCATTTTTGTCTGTAATCGCATATTCTGTTTCTAATTGCAGCTGTGCGAACAATGTTTTCGCTGGTTTAAGAGTTCAAACTCCAAGTAGGTGTTCTTTACCCATTTCCACTATCCAATCAGTTGTGGGATCTTGAGCTCCTTATTCTGTGGTTTGTATTCATGACTTGAAATTTTACATTCCGGTCTTTTAGCAGATTTTCCTGGACGGGCAAAAAATACAAATTTTGAATTTCACAACAAGGTGTATAGAAGCGTCATGTCCAGGTAGGTTTTGGCCCTCAGGTTGCCAGATCTTCATTCAAATGCCAAAAATATACTTGATTAATAGGCTTAGGTATTTCAATTTTGAAGAACAACAAAGTCTTCTATTACCCTGACAATTGATATTATAAGTTGGAGTTGGACTGCAAAATTAACATACCATTGTCTGATCAGTATTGCTCGTTGGGGATTTATTATTGTTAGATTTTCTCCTGAGGCTCTTAATTTCATGTCAATGTTCATTTTTGTAACTATTGGCCTATTGAGTATGTCAAAACCCTTAGTTATACCCCTCGAATTTTCAGCAATTAAGTTTACTGTTTTCCTAAGCTTCATTACCCTGCTTTGCAACTGATCATATATTTGGGTTACTTTGCTTTTGTGTTCCTTATTTGAAGTTTGCTACCAGTGATATACTGATATGGGCGATTCATTTGTCCATTGTGTGAAATCAGAGCTGGTTGATGTCGTTTCTACTGATATTGGGTTTAGCCAAAGACTCACTACGAGTCATCAGGAAATAGTCTCTCTTTGCTTTAGTACAGGGGTAAGACTGTGCACATCCGACCCCCCCTTACCCCACCAAAGGTGTGGGAGACTTTGAGGCACTGGGGTAATGATGATGATGATGATGAGAGCTTTCAACCCTTCCAAAACAGTCAAGTTGATAATTTCCATGCCTATTAGACAAGTAAAAAATGTGTGAGAGCTGTGTTCTAGAATTATGGATGGGATTTTACTACTTTACAACTATGGATTTGTATATGGAGAAATATAGCTATAACTTTGAGAGTATTAACTACTACATGAATACTAAGGTGTGTGACATGCATTATTTGAATTATACCCCCTTCTGCTCAAATGTGTGTGTTATATGCTCCAAGGTTGCTATAAACGCAATCAACTCCAAGAAAGAACTAAACATGATTTTATGAAGCTCCAGCTTGCTATAGGCGTAATTTATCCAATACTTTAGTTTGGCAAAAAAACATGGATAAGGTACTCTTGGGGTACATTCACACAGGGTCTTGAAAGTGAATTCGGGACCCTAGCCAGTTGGCCTTTGCCTCAACATAAAGTGGGAGGGCTTAAACCTCAAATCAAAATAAATAAAATGATAAAAAATAGTATAAATTAGACGGTACATAATAACAGTTCAATTACTTCATTAACATAAAAAGTTGAATTTTTTGAACAAAAAACCACATAATATGGTTTAACAAACAGACAAAACAGCTAGTCATTATGAAATAAATGGATGAAATATGCAATTATGCATGTCAACCCACAATAAATCTAAGATTATGAAGTATGAACTGCTTCCAAATTAAAATTCCCAATTGTGTCAAACCTTCCCTTATTTTAATGGAATATTTACGCTATCTCATGGGTGGGATAGACCTTATTCAATGGTATTGACTAGAGGATCTTCTATATGGAAGTACCCCAGAGGACTTTGGTCCATGATATATGTTAGCACACCCCTCTCTAGACTTTTACCTCTATCCATGACCACCAATATATGTCCCTCCCTCTCATATTTAATAGGTTATATATAAAGATAGTATTTCACTGAAATCGTACTTGCTTCTCCAAATCTCTAATTGCAGAGCTTGTAAAAGTAAACCGACTCGTGGACAACTTTCCATGATGCCTGTAGGAACACCACAAGTGCTTTACCGAAACCCAGTGGAAGGGTCTTGGCAATGGGTTGACTTGTGGAATGCTCTTGTAAGTTGCACCATGCATGTCTTATCTTTTGACATTCAACTATGTAAAGTATGTATGCTTGCTACTGATTCTAAAAAAGGGAAGCCCAGTGGACATTGGCGTCCCGGCAAGGTGAGGGACCGGGGAATGTCCCACCACCACAAGGGTGTACAGGGGCAAACCTTCCCTTGTCATTTTGACAAGAGGTCAGTCCCAAGACTTGAACTCGTGACTTCTTGGTCACACGGCAACACCGTAACTGGGGCGCCAAGACTCTCCCCTGCCATGCTACTGATTCTAATAATTCTTTGATTGTCTTGTAGTCATCTGACTAGTCATGACTCATGAATTAAGTCCCTTTTTCTTTAAATATCATCTGGATCGGTTGATAAAAGACAACTGTTCAGTCAATATAAACCGCTGTGAAAGATTATTGAGCAGCCATAACTATATCTTGCCGTGATTTGATCAGCTTTCCTCGGCTACAATGATCTGTGTATTTAAATTTAATAAATTAATATGCTGTGATTATTTGTGGCCTGATGGCTTCTATTTTTCTGGTTGCAGTACCGTGAACGTATTATTTTCATTGGTCAAGAGATTGATGAAGAATTCAGCAACCAGCTACTGGCTACAATGCTTTATCTTGAAAGTGTTGATGAGTCTAAGAAATTGTATATCTACATTAATGGCCCTGGTGGTGATGTGAGTTTTTTGAAATGCCATTTTGTTCATTTGATGGGTTTCTTCTCATTATATGATCGAGCGTACCTTACAGCTTACACCATGCATGGCCATATATGACACAATGCAAACTTTAAGAAACCCTGTTTGTACACACTGTGTGGGACTTGCCTACCATCTTGCTGGGTTTCTTCTGGCAGCTGGGGATAAGGTAGTATTCCTTTCATATATAAGTTTCTGGTTGAACTTGTGAGTTGTGTACTACTTCTTTCGTTGTTTTAGGGCTTAGTATTGCCAAAACATCCAAATTGAGATGTGAAAAACGGAGTATTCAATTGCATCCCGGGTTTTTTCAATTTTGAGTAGAAGCAGATAGCAGTTAATTTCAACAATATTATGTTTATTACACTGAAGTCTTTATTACCTTCCTTAAACAAAGGGTTCTTAGCTTTAAGTCTCCCAATCTTCCTCCTTTTTCTCATTGTTGAATCCGAGGCCAAAAATACTACTACCTCCGTCCCATTAGAAGATTCCCGTCTACTATTCACATGGTCAACTTAAATCATTTTTAATCTTTTACTTTATAAATCAAATTTTTATCAAATTTACATTTTTTTATTAGACTTTGTAGCGGTTTTAATGTAGTTTCTGAATATGTTAATTTTATTTACCAAAAATAATCAGAGTGTGAACCGGGATTACGTTGCTTTATCGTCAGTCAACATCGTAAATCATCAATGGGAACCTTCTAGCGGGACGGAGGGAGTATATGGGATTGACAGCTTTAATTTAATTGTAAGATAGTAGTTTTATACTTTATTGTAATTTAGGTGGTGAATCTGGAAGTGACAATTACATTACACCTCAGATATTAAAAGCAAAAAAACTTTTTTCTTAGCAGGATCTATTTGTTTAGTTAATACTCCCTCCGTACCCCTAATATTGGTACGAAGGGAGTGGTGTGGTTTTTAAGAAAAGTAGAATTATGTGGTTGGTAATGAGTTGATAAAGTGGAAATAAAGTAAGAATGAATTAGAGCCACACAAATGATACCAAATATGGTATGGGACAATAATAAAGTGACATCCAAAAATAGAAAAATGGGACAATTATAGGGGGGCGGAGGGAGTACTGCGTAGTTTCAGTAGTTATCTTCATACATGATATAATATTCAACAACAAATTCTCATTTTATGCTGGAAAGTATTGAAATATAAGAAACCCTACCCTAGTGTAGTCTTAACCCACCAGGACTGCCCTTACTTCTAGAAAAGGATGTGTGTTATTCTCTCTGTATGAGTACTAATCTATTAAATTTCTAATATATTCAATATATTATGTATACCATCTCATATCTACTTCTGATAATCGGTAATCCCAACAATATCTCAACATTCAGTTAGCTGAATCTGAAGATCTAAGTAGCTCATGACCTTGTTTTACATCATGCAGGGTAAGCGTTCTTCAATGCCTCTTTCAAGAATTGCATTATCGTCTCCGGCTGGTGCTGCTCGTGGTCAGGTTTGATTTTACATTCATTTGTCAGAACACATATTGCAGATTTTTCTGTTCCCATTTACAATGTGCTGAATTCTCTTTAGGCTGATGACATACGCAATGAAGCAAATGAACTTATCAGGATTAGAGATTACCTATTTGACGAGTTGGCTGCTAAGACAGGCCATCCTGTTGAAAAGGTACCATCTCTTATTTGTTTTCACTAACTTTAAGTAATATCTCTCAGGAGTTGGCTGTAGTATATATCTTGTTGGTTTAAGATTAGATAAGTGTGAGCAGCGAATAAGCTCTTCGATCCTTGAAACCTGATTTTTCTACAACTCTCGAAATATAACCATCAACCTTAGAAGCCATGTTAAAGTTAGCTCTGCCATATTGATAATTTTATCCACTCATTGCTTTATCATAATTTTATAAGTATGACTTTGGAGAGAGTGAAGTGAGGGGAGAGCATATACGTGGATGATTGATCTGATTTTGTTTGTCTCCCTTTTTCTCTATAAATTGTGTTTCTCCAATGTATATCGATTCATGTTATTAGAGGCAGTATATATTATTAGAAGTCAGATATACATGATTATCTGACATTTAATGTAGATATGTTATGCTGTGTCTACTATAATTCTGCAGATCCGCAAGGACTTGAGCCGGCTGAAGCGTTTTGATGCCTCACAAGCTCTTGAATATGGTCTTATAGACCATATAGTTAGGCCTTCAAGTTTGGAGGATGATAGCGTTAGGAAGGACTCTACAGTGGGTCTTGGTTAGTTTGTATGTAGTGGCTCAACGGGACTACATTAATGTTTTTTTTAGTATCATATTTGGCTTGAAGTGGGCAAAGATGATATGTTGATTAATACGTGTCCTGATTGTGCTGTTAAGTTAGTCAATCCACGGCTTTAGAAAAACATCAGATCGCCTTTTTATCAGCTGATCTTTGCAAATATTTTTATGTTCTATTAATTCATTTAAGCTTTCTACCAAAAAAATACATTTAAGCATACACTCGTCACTTTTATTATTTATTATTTATTAATGCAAGTAGCTGTTATACTGTAAAAAAGCTAAGACTTCATTCGTCCCATTTCGTAAGTTCTTTGTGTGATTTACGATTGATTGACTTATAATCAATCTGACCTCTAATAATATCATATATGTACTTGAGTACATCAAGCGTCTCATAAAAGTTGATTAAAATTGACTTGCATGTGAAATAATAAAGTAAAAATGTATGATTGAAATTTGTGCACAAGAAAAGAAATACCTTTAATCACATATTTCTTATTTTAAAGTCGTGGGAGAACTTTTAAATTTTAACCGGGACAAAAGGAGTATTTTCATTACTATGTTATTTACCTATTAATGGGAGTGATAGATATGGAAGCTATATCTTACATATAATTACAATTGACATTATTTGATCATGGAGTTATGTACACTTTAATATATTGTATTATTGTTCGACTATAACTAAAACACATTCATCATGGATCATATGCAAATTAACACACCAACATCCAACTTCTATCATACAAGTCCCCAATTTCTTTACCATTTTATGAGCATATGGTCAAAATTATTCTTTTTGGAAGCATGCCCTAGAAAGACAATAAATGTCAAATATATCTTAATTTTGACATTGCTTTGATTGACCATGAGTTATTTACACATTAATATATTATTGGACTATAACTAAATACATTTTATATTTTATTTGATTTATCAGACTAACCTTTGAATTATGTCAAGTATCACTCTATATTCACATAAAAAACAATAAAACTCAACAATGCATAATTTCACAAAATTTTTGTCATCATTGTTGTATGTTTTGATAAAAGATACATAACTCCTCATTTTGTTATTGGGTGTGTGGCAAATGACTAATCTATTAGTTTTTGGCCAATTTGACTTATTTTAGATGTTTGATTACTCAAATCAGCCAATGTTTCATGTTTGATGAATGTCTTTTATATTAAACTGTTCAGTCCAAAAAGGCTAAAATTGAGTAGTTGAATACACTAAGGAGTACAACATTTTCATGGTGTTTGTTCAACAATTTCTACTTACTCTCAATTTACATCAGGCTATATCATTACAAACTTACAATGGGACAATGGGTTGTCTTTGTCTTCCATGTATTTATACAATTCCCAATTATGATGTGGATGTTGCTTTACACACCTCAATATTACTTGATGCAATTATAACTAGACTAATTTGCCCTTTTTTAACTACCACTAATAAAAAACACTCAGCTCCTTACATGTGTTTTACACCTAATTTGTTCTTTAGAAACAACCAGTTTTACGAGAAATTAATTTTAATCAGTTAACGTAATTGGCAAATCCAAACAGCTAACACAAACCGCTGACACAATCAAATAATAGTTATTAATACCACTAATAAAGAAATATCAGCTCCTTGCACATGTTTTACACTTGATGTTCTTTAGGAACAACCAACTTTACCGAACAATTAATTTTAACAAGTTAACATAATCAAGAAATAAAAACAATTAACACAAACCATCGACACAATCAACTAATAGTTAGCAGCCAATTGCTGAACAAAGCCATTACATCTTACCCATACATAATTGTTTTATATTTGGGAAGTACAACACTATAAAATCAACCAAAGAAGGTGAATGTGCAGCTATTTGGAACTCCTCTGAGATGATTTATATATGCGGAATGCAGCAATACACATTGTACCATTACCAATTACAGTCAAAGCTGCTTGAAGAGCCACCAAAATCTGATATGCATGGGAACAGTGCAAGCATGGATTAACTAATATTATAAGGAGAGCCAAAAGGACTAGATGAGGTACTACTACTCATTAAGGAAAGGTGGTAGCATAGTAAGAAGCAAATTATTGTTTACCAGAATTTAGAATGGTGAAATTCAAAGTTTCATTAAAATTAAACATAATTAAACTGTTGTATATAGAACAAGATTGGGAAGGGGGGCTATTGCCACCACTGGTCCTCCATTGGCTCTCTGATAATAGAACAGGGGAAAAGTCACATTGAATCTGGATTTGGATATGAAGTTCAACAAGGAGGTTGCAAAAGGTTAATACAATCAACAAAGTCTCACCCTTCTACCGCCCCCGCCCAATATGAGTTTCTGTTTACCTCAAGAGATTCCGAGTTATAGAAGAAATGCCAAGTGCAGGCACAAAGTGCTCCACCCAGTAATGGCACCTGCACAACAAATACATGCGTGACCTCATTTAGATTAGGCATGTGCATAGGTTCATGAATAGCACACTCAAGAAGCTCCAAATAATGCTAGCTACCAACTACTAAACAAATGTTGTTAGGTCCCCACGATTAAGGTGAGGAAAATCGGTTTATGAGATCTTGCATTGATGAACTTTTCTACTCAACTTTAACCATTTTAAAGCTAAAAATGTAAGCAAAAGGGATGTGCTTAAAATTGATTTCCACGTTTTCTATTATATTACTCTAATAACATTACTAACATATCATTATTATTTTTTTACAAAATACTCCGACTTTCATCAATCACTTTTTATTTATTTTCAAACATCACCAACTTTAACTGTTAAATACTACCAAAAATGTCTTAGACTCTATCCTGAAAAGTTCTAACCCACTTCGTCAGTTTGACTATCTGTTTGAAACATCACAACATCTTGTGATCCAAAAAAAAACATCTTGTGATCCATTTTTGGCTGTGAGAGAGGAAACTGGTTTATAAAAATTTGGGTTAATCTAGCTAAGCAATTGAATTTATGGTGAAGCCCAAGGGCATTATAGCCTCATTGAGTGACCTCAAGAGGCCTACACTAAATCCTAAATCCATAAAATCTCTATAAACATCACGCAATACCAAAAACAGTACTTCCTTAGTTCCTTACACTCGTGCTACTGCCAACAATTGACCATTTCAAACAGAACCGCTCATTATCTTGCTTTATGTCGATTGCAATTCACCAATCTCTACAAAAAAATGTAAAAGAAACCAGAAAGAGGTTTCCATTTCATCAAAATTCACTCATTATCACGAGTTGATATAAAATGCAATGGACCAATCTCTACAGTCTAGAGAATCAAATGTAAGAAGAACCAGAAAGAAGTACTACCTATAAAAATAAGTTTTAGGTAACCTTATAGATCATATTCTACTAAGCTTCTGAAAACTTCAAAAATGCATCTATCAACAATGTAAACAATGAGTAATCAAAGCACATACTATGTATATTTTAAAAACTCTAGATGTTCAAAACATCTTTGAATAATATATTAAAGCACAAGAAATTAGATGAGCATTACTGAAATGGTGCAATGACTTACCATACCCCATGATAGCCCTTTCCAAGATTCATATCCTGACCTCTCTCCATATTGCCAAACCAAGGCCATTGCAGTGACCCTATAAAGTGTTAAATAAGGAACCAAATGAACAGTTCAAATTTTTTATTTAAAACAGAAACGAGACCAGAGGAACCCATATCCAGCATCGAAGTTTACTTATACTATATGCACTGGTATACTATACATCCGCATCTACAATGACAGCCGTATATTCAACATACACACATGTGCAGTCTTTAAAAGGACAATGAGCAAGCACCCTATGCAAATGAACACTCTGTAGAAGAAAAAGACCCGATGTACGTGCTAATTTCATGATCAAAATTGAAAACTGCATGAACACAGTGAGACAAAAGGAAGCGCACATTGAAAAATGAGCTAAGGATATCACAAAAATAACAGGGGTGTATGTGCTGTCGGATGTATGATATAATTTTATCTGACACAATTTAACCGTTCAAGAAATTCAAATTAAAAAACATTAACATGTTAGGGAAAATTGCATCAATCATCCGGACGTTACATCCACTTGTTTTTGTATTATTTTTTTATAGCTACTGATTTTGTGAATGAAGAGTATTCATTACTTCGTGTTCTTGTTTTCTTTAACACTCATTTTGATTCTATACAATGCTCATCTGAATATAAGCAAAACTAATCTTTTAGGGAAGAATACTCTTTTGCCTCATTTAGACGCACCATTCCTTCATTTTAGAGGACAAGAATGCTTAAATTAATCACTGAAGCGTAGAAATTCTGGTGACCGGAGATCTAGTTTTTAGTCTTGGAGAGAAACATAAATAATTCCAGATGAAGCAGAATGAAAAGAAACATTACCATTCGATGACACTGGAGACATGAACAGCCCAGGTGGGTAGAGAAAGGGCATTGGAAGGTTCAGAAAATTGCATAGCTGATGAGCCCATTGCAGCTAGCTCAGAAGCAGAAACAGGCCCCGAAATGGAGACTAAAGCAAGACCAGCGACCCCCAGAACCGTAACCATTGTTCGCCCGGTATAGAAAGTGCAGGGTATTGGGTGCAACAAAGCAGAAAGAAATTTTGGGGATTTTGTAGCTGAGGAAAGTTGCATTTGCTTGGGATTAGGAAAAGGAAGGATCTTTGAAGGAGAGAATAAGGATGGAACTACCATATTAGTTTTCCTCGATGTCTTGAAAGCTAGTTGCTAAAGATATCAAGGAGTGAATAGCGATGGCTGGTTTGGCATATTAATTGCACCGGAGTATGTAGATCCTGTGCAAAACGGCGCATCTGGGCGCACCTTTATTTTTGCTCTGTGCACCCAATTTGCCGCGTTAGTGGACAATTATGTCCTGGCGTAGTGGCGTGTTTAGAGGATTAATCAATTAATTATCAAAAATAAAAATCTTTCTGAAATTAACCACGTTGTTCAGTTTCCCAATATACAACATCTCACTATCAGTGTGAAGCAAATTATTTCACTAAGATATTCCTGATATTTAGTGACAAAATAAAGAAAAGAGAAAAGGGTCACATGGGATCTCGAACTTACAAAAAATGTCAAATAAAGCCTTCTAAAGGAGGTTTTGTACGGCCGACACCATTTGAAGTGGTTTCCGGTGGAATTTTTCGATGAAATTTTGTGAACGACTTATTTATTAAGTCTAGTTTACTCATACCAAATTTCAGTTAAAACTTCAATCGGGAAGGCATTCAAATAAATTCTTGAATATAACTGCGCTTTTAATTGCTCACTTATCTTCAAGAAATTATTTGAATGTCTTCCCGATTGAAGTTTTAGCTGAAAATTGGTATGAGTTAACTAGACTTAATGAATAAGATGCTTAAAAAGTTTCATTGAAAAATTCGACCAGAAACCACCCCAAATGACGTCGGCCGGACAGAACCTCCAATATAAGGCCTTATTTGACATTTTTTGTAAGTTTGAGGCTCTATCTGACCCTTTTTCCTAAAGAAAAACCTATATGAAAACAATTAAAATGATCATCTAGAGTAATTTCAACCAAATTAGCTAGAAATGAACTACAACCTTACTTATATTGATTATTATAGAAATCAGTACGCAAAATAAAAAAATATGTTTTTATGATAAACTAGTTGGTGAGGGTGATGAAATGAAATTATGGCTACCAAAGAGGCTTTGTGATATATTCAGATGTTCAAAAATATTTTGACTTTTTAGAACTATTATGCAAAGTCAACCCTGAAATTGGGTGAATTGATTGAATCCGTAGAAAGTGATAAAATTCTGACTAAAGCGGTTCAATTGGTGAAATCGACTGAATTATAAAAAAATGTTTGTAAATCATATTCTTCTAATAAAAGAAATATTATTTAAAATAGCTAAAGTGTTCTTCACCATATTTAGTGGATTCAGATAGAAAAATACTCCCTCTGTACCGCTAACAATGGGACAAGAGGGAGTGACATGCAAATTAATAAAAAGTGGTTTATGTGGTTGATATTGAATTGATAAAGTCAGCATAAAGTAAGAATGATTTAGGACCACACAAACTTGACCAAATTTGGTATGGGACAATTTTAATGGGACGGATCGATAAGGTAAAATGGGACAATCATAGCGGGACGGAGGTACTAGTTTTTATAACTTTACTTATTTATGGTTAATAAAAGGGTTTTTTCTCCTAAATATTACTAATAAAAAAAGTTGTGGAGAAAATTTTACTCACTATGTAATATTTCTATCCACCACATTCTAAAGAGTGGTATTAATGGGTTTTTTCTTATTAAAAAAAGCAATTATATACTCAAAGCACATTCCAAAATGTAAAAAGCAGTTATAAATCTAACTTTTAATTTCATTTTCATATTCAAAATATATTGAAAAATTATCTTGATCAATCAAATCGGGAATGAGCTAAACAAATGTAAACGAAACACAAATATTTGAAATTTATTTATTTAACAAAAAGGACCTTAAAAGACATTGGGATTTTAAAAACTTTAGGCAAAAAAACTTGCGGCTGCATCCAGCCTCGTTGGTAGTTTGTACTTTATGTAAATGAAAAAGGTTTCATTTTACATTTGGGACGCGAATTTAATGAGCACAAATAAACAAGGTTAAAATAGTCAATGTGGGTTACATTAAGTAATTTTGGGGGTGCGCAAAGCAACCCCCTGTGCAAAATCAACTACTGATATATCAAAGATTCAACTGTAGTCTAACTTTCAAGAAAAAAGTTCAAATAAGCCTCGATAGGAGGCTCTGTCCGGTCATCCCCATTTGGATCGGTTCCGATGGAATTCTTTTATGAAACTTTTGAGCATCTTTTTTAAGTCTAGTTTAATCATACAAATTTCAGCTAAAAATTCAATCCGGAAGACAGTCAAATGAATTTTTGAAGCTAACTGTGCAGTTAGGCAGTGGCAGGATACTTCAGAAAATCATTTGAGTGCCTTCTAGATTGAATTTTTAGCTGAAATTTGGTATGGGTAACTAGACTTAATGAAAAAGATACTCAAAAAATTTCATCAAAAAATTCCACCAGAAACCGCTCCAAATGACGACAGCTGGACAAAGCCTCCAGTAAAAGGGCTTACTTGCACTTTTTATGAAAGTTTGAGGGCTTATATGATAGTTCTCCCAAGATTCAAAGCTAGTTGATGTATACTGCAATATCATAGAAGTAGCTTAAGACCCGTTTGGTTCTCGAGTTTTTTCCCGGATTAATGCCAATTAATTAATTAATTACGAAATTAGGGCTGAGTTAAAAGTTATTACTGATATACTGCTGGGAGTAACCATGGTCGGGCAAAGTCGCCAAACCGTTTGGCGACTTATAAGTCGCCATCCGGTTTGGTGACTTATAAGTCGCCATCCGGTTTGGCGACTTATAAGTCGCCAAACGGTTTGGCGATTTTGCCTTTCAAAAAAACGGTTCGCCCACCTTCTGTAGACAGAACGGAAAACAGCAGCCCCAAGACCCAAGCAAACTCCACCTCCGGCAATTCGAAGCTCCAAGTGCGGTGACTCTCGTACGAAATCTCCAACTCCGGCGATATCCCTCCCCCTTGCTAAGTAAACTCCACCTCCATCTTCTTCAACACTCCTAGGTAAATTAATCTCCATTTCATCTAATATTTGATTTTAGGGTTTAGAATGTATAAAATTCGAATTTTTAAATTTGGAATTGATATGTGAATTGAGTTGTCGTGAAATATGAATATGTATGAAATGTTGAATTTTAATGTTGACTTCAATGTAATATTTTGAATTTGTTACGTAATGTTTTGATTTGGTTAGGTGTGGTTTATCTAATGGGATTTTGTTAAATATGAGAGTTTTTAAATACATTTTATGTATAGGAAATGTTGAATTTGTTTGTATAAAGTGTGTATATTAATATGAACTTATCAATTATCATCATATATTGTTATTAGAATATGGATTTCTCCAACTTCTCAGTTTTTGTAGGCACTATGGAGGTGGCAGCGGATCCAGGACCGATAGATCCTTCTGTCCTTACATTGCAGGCCACACATAGGACTGAGGACGTGTGGTGTGGCGTGGATGTGCAGGTTGATAGGTGTCGAGAGCACCTCTGTGGTTTGTCCCACGTGGAGGTGGACGATAGAGTTTTAGCTTATGTTAGAGCTGTCGGTTTTTTGTGTGTACATAGATTGGTGGCTACTATCCCACTTGATAGAGCTCTAGTCACCGCTCTTCTTGAGCGTCGGAGGCAGGAGACTCACACATTTCACCTCCGAGTTGGTGAGGTGACAGTGACCTTGGGAGATGTGGTTGTTTTGATTGGCTTACAAGTCCATGGGAGAGCGGTGACAGGTACATCATGTCGACCATGTGTTGAGGATGTGGAGCGATTGTTGGGTGTTCGCCCCCTTCTCCGAACATACATTCATGGATCATCTCTGAGGATGTCATGGCTGAGGGAGCATTTTGTTGTTATTCCTCCAGAGGCAGATGAGGTGATGATTCAACAGCATGCACGAGCATGCATTTTGATGTTGATTGGAGCTTCCATTTTGCAGATAAGAGTGGGAATGAGGTTCAGGTGTTGCCATTGTCGATGCTAGAGATATTTGATGTAGCTGGACAGTTCAGTTGGGGTAGTGCCACTCTAGCGTATCTTTATAGGCAGCTTTGTCGAGGTTGTCAGAGTGGGAGCACGGAGGTTGGTTTTTTTTGCTTTTGTTACAGCTTTGGTCATGGGAGTACATTCACATTGGGCATCCCATTATATCACGATACCATGGGTTAGATGGACTCCCAATTCATGACCAGCCTCCACGTCTCCTTGGACCACATCATCGACGGGGCGAGGACCCTCTGGGGCGTCGGTATATTTTACAAGACTATATTTATGTTATTGTATGTTCTGAATAATTATATGAATTATATTTATATTAATATGTACTACATGAATGGTTAGAGGACTATTTGATGATCTTTGTCGCACATCATTGGCTACTGGACTCGGTTTCTATAGAGATGCATTTGATCGCATGTCGGATGATCAGGTTTGTTGTACATCATATAAATTACCTATCATATGAAAAGCAGTAAGACTAATTTTATTTACTTTTCAAACAGATTACATGGATGCCATATACAGCCCAAATGTTAGAGGAGTTGCCCACGGCAGGTTGAGAGCACTATGATATATGGCGAGCACGTGTCCCGTTGATCTTTTTTACATCGTTGAGATTCATTTGCCAGATCGTGTACTGAGGCAATTTGGCTATGAGCTGGTCATTCCAGTACCTGTCGACACATGTGTAGATCTCCATGAGCTGGATAGGCGTGGGAAGCCTACAGAGGATTGGTCCCTCAGACATGTTATATACGTCACTGTGTTGGAGAGGCGAGCAGAGTTTGTTGTGATTAGGACGCCTACATTCGTCCCATCTGTTTGTGTAGGCTACATGAGATGGTATTACAACATCACACGGTTGTTTGTCTATCCTTCTTTCAGACTCCCTACTCACCATTACCGGCCTAGTGCCATGGCTTTATACTTGGCGGTGAGTGTGCTACTAATTACGAAAGTATTTCATGTTCTTTATTTAAGATTTTATTCATTTCAAAATAATTATAATTCATGTTTCACATTTCAGACACGGGCATTGCAGCGTATACATGAGCGAGCGACTACCACAGTTAATGATACACATGATGTGGACATGTACGGTCAGGTTCTGACGGGCATCGCTTCATTGTGTTCAGATGTGTTGGGCCGAGTGGACTATGGACATCTTATACATATGACCCCCTCTCAGGATTATATGACATCAACATCATCAGCAACAGCGATGGGTTCTACATCTCAGGATTATATGACATGGACATGGACATCTTATACATATGATGGATGCCCTCTCAGGATTATATGACATGGACATCATCGGCAGCAGCGGTGGGTTCTAAATCTTAGACTCAGCGGGACAGAGTTGTTCTTCAACCACGACAGCGACGTAGGCGTATGCGTCAACAGCCACAACTCCATGATGAAGACGATCAAGAAGACCATGAAAACTTGTAGTCTCTCTATTATTGAACTTAATCATGTACACCAAATGTTGTAGAATCACTTCACTTTTTTACATATTTTTACCTTCAAACTAATGGATATTGTGTTATTAGTATTTTGTCATTTGTTTATGAAGTGTTGATGTGTTTGGTTATGCATATCGGATGTCTACACGTTGTTTTTATACTGTATTTTTGAGCAAGTGTGTCGCTTTGTATCATTTCTACCAAATTGTGTTTTGTACGTGTTCTGTAAGTCATTAAACGGTGAATTGCATTTATCGGGATCCATTTAGGACAAGTTTGGTGTTAATGTTGTTGGGGAAGGGCAAAGTCGCCAAATCGTTTGGCGACTTATACGTCGCCAAACCGGATGGTGACTTATAAGTCGCCAAATGGTTTGGCGACTTTGCCCGACCATGGTTACTCCCAGCAGTATATCGGTAATAACTTCTAACCCAGCCCTAATTTCGTAATTAATTAATTAATTAGCATTAATCCGGAAAAAACTCTTGGTTCTCGGGGTAAAACATATGGAACCATTTTAAAAATCTCAATTTTAATGTCAGTTCGATTCTTATAAATTATTTGTAGAATCGATATGGAGCCGAACCAAACGTTAACGGTTTGATTTTAGTCATTATTCAGTTCCTAAATTTTAAAGAACTTCTACATATCACTAAATTTGTACATCATTTCAAACCTCAAAAGTTAAGTTTCAGACATAAGTACATAACAAACTAAATTAACTTTTTAGAGAAAACAAAAAGAGACATTCACGACAAGAGAAATCGGTTAAACACTTGTCACTTTATCAACACTATTAACTAAACTAAATCACTACGTAAATTTAATATCTAAATGAATATTAAAATATACTCTGTATATGCTAATAAGTAGTAATAGATAAAACTTAATTATTATATAACAGTTCTTTTAACGGTTCCACATGCATATTTTTTACTGGAATCGAGAATCGAACAGTTAATAAAAAATAGGAACAAAACCGTTAATAAATGACCCGTTAATGTTGGAACGGAACCGAACCAGGTCATAATGGTCCGGTCCGATTCGGGGTGCAACTTGCTGGTTCTTGATTACATGTTTTCTTCATTCATCTTTGTTATCTAAATTTCATTAAAAAGTTTTTAACGAATGTCTACTCCGTTGCACCAAAAAGAAAATAACATAAGAATGTGAGAATTTGTATTAAGATCATAATTAAATATAGAAAAGTTCAGGTTTTCAATTTTTCACACCCAAGTCCAAGTAAACATATGTACAACAAGCATATTACAATTTGTTCTTTTTCTTTCATTCTTCCTTTAGTAGCAAACACATGACATTGGAATGTGATTGTCTAATGAACCATGCTACTTGTACGTTTTTTTTTGTACACTTTTGTTGTACATACTGCCTAGCTGTTTGTGTACACATGAACTTCGGAACGAGCTGACTGTGTACATGAGCAATTAGGGATGTACAAGAAATGTGTACAAAAAGTGTGCAAATGACTTTTTCCGTGTCTAATGGTGATAGAGGCTCACTCAAATGCTTCAATGAACATCTTCCGAGTTCCTAGGCATGCTATCCATTCACATCATCACATGTACCTAAGTATCTCTAATTTTTAATATTATTATTAAAAAAGTAACATTTAAAATATATTTTACTAATAAAATAAACAAAAAATTTATATGAAAAATAGTTAAAAATTACTCCCTCCGTTCTTTATTAACTGTCTCGCATTCCTTTTTGGGACGTTTTTAATTATTTATCTCTCTTTCCTTTTTTGGTAAGTTTTTTCAATCAAAATACCTTTATACCCCCACTTTTATTACTATTACCCCTTTCTCTTTCCTACTTTTTCATTTACCCACAACCCACTGCACCTTTTACACTACTCCTATTATTTTTCTCTTAAAACCCGTGCCAAAGCCTAAGAGGACTCATATTTAAGAACGGAGGAAGTACTATGTATCATCTACAGTCAGAAAAGTAACTTCAATCTTACTTATTTTGATATTTTGCAACTCAATACGTGAAATCAAAAGTTACATGTTTAATGAAAAATTGATTTATAATTCTTGATAAGCCGAATAGCATGATCACCAAACGAGTTCTAAAATTTAACTCCAACTCATTTATGTCTTACTTTTCCATCTTCAGTTTTGTATGACATCCAATAATAGACTTGTTATAAGCCTTACATGTGAATAAAGGCTGGACCTCTGGTACGCATGTGTATAAGGCCTACCGCCACTTTAGTGATTGAGTCACCGTGATTAACCCCTCCACCATCCTGTCGGGTCGGGGTGGGGGCTCCTGGAGTGGGAGTTTCCACCTTTTGGACCAAGTTATAACCCGTATATGTGTATATCTCTCTCCACACTTTTTCATTTCTCGTTTTTATCTATTTTCAATTCGATTAAATTAGAAGAATTAGTTCAACTGTCCTCTAAGGCGAACGTGCAAAATATACCACATATATTGGTTAAATAAATGCGCAGAATATCAGTTTTGGAAATGGAGTACAAAAGCTAAAACTGAAAAATAAACGAGTGGAAAAAGGTTCTTAGAAGCTGTTCTCTTCGTCTTAATCTTATTACTTATTCTTTATTCTTATTTTATTCAGATCAGATCAGATCAGATCAGATCAGAAAGATTCAGATCAGATCAGATCAGATCAGAAAGATTCAGATCAGATCAGATCAGATCAGAAGCATTCAGATCAGATCAGAAACATTCAGATCAGATCAGAAGCATTCAGATCAGATCAGAAGCATTCAGATCAGATCAGAAGCATTCAGATCAGATCAGAAGCATTCAGATCAGATCAGAAGCATTCAGATTAGATCAGATTAGTTCAGAAATTATTATTACTGTTATTATTACTATTATATAATATTATATATTACTGTTATGTTTTACGGAGTAATTTTTAGTATTGATTTTTTAATAAATGCTAAAATTGAGTACTCTGTACCAATCCATCTAATCTAAATATATAATACTGTCACCATTTGATCGAGAAGAATGAATTGAAGTACAAACATTTATTCAATATCAACTTGCGATTATGGTATCAACTTTCGCACTGCACAACTTTATCCGTCTTTACGAGTTGGATATTCCAATTTCAAGTGCAATCACCATTGAGCCAAGTACCGACACTAGCATGTTTAATCCAGAACGCAAACAAGAAATGGAAAAAGTGCAGGCACAAATAGCTGCTGAAATTTGACGCTCAATTCGACGTTAAATGAATATGGCACTAAGTACATTTATATTTTATTGTTCTTTGCAATTGAGTTGTAAGAACAAACTCATGTGTTTGTCATTTCTACGTTACTCTCATTATGTGCAAGAATTTTATATTGCTTCGTTTATTGTCAAATATTTTTATTATTATTAAAAAGGTTATTAATATCACTACTTATTATTATTATTATTATTATTACTACTACTACTACTATTATTGTTATTATTATAATAATTATTATTGTTACGGAGTATTATTTTTATTATACTTATTAAATAATAATAATAGTTATTATTACTATTATAATTATTATTGATGTTATTATTATTATTGTTATTGTTATTGTTATTATTCTTATTATTATATACCAATTTAGAAAGTTAAGATCAGATCAGAAGGATTCAGATCAAATCAGAAACATTCAGATTAGATCAGAAACATTCAGATCAGATCATAAACATTCAGATCAGACCAGACAGATTCAGATCAGATCAGAAACATTCAGATCAGATCAGACAGATTCAGATCAGATCAGATCAGATCAGAAAGATTCAGATCAGATCATATCAGATCAGAAAAATTCAGATCAGATCAGATCAGAACTTAAAAAATTCAGATCAGAAACATTCAGATCAGGTGAAGAGAACACCTTCTTAATCTAGATTTTGGGTATTAAAAAGAATTCTCCATTTCTCTACACACAAAAAAAAACAATTTGAAACATAGATTGGATATGTTCTCCATTTCCAATCGCAAAACCCGGAAATCAAGAATTCTCGAATTGGCATTGGAATCCAATTAGTCTTTTCCAAGCCAAATTAGGAGATTTAATTGTTAAATGCAAATAAACTTTAAAATCTGATTAATGAAACATGAAATATCCACCTGAAACTTATAAAGTCACGTGGTTTCCTATAATTGTGAGCAATTGAAATGTTGAATCCCACCCATAGTTCCTTTCCAGCTAGACCCGAAGCAATTTCCCCTTTGTACTTCAATTTTAAGACTCAGACTCCAGAGGAACATGACACACCTAATACTACTATCTTTCTGTGCATGTAATAATTGCCAGCTAACCTAAGAGAAGCTCTTCTTTCTCTTACCAAGCCCACTTTCTTGAACTCTTCAAATGTTTTCTGAAAATTCTGAACAGAAAGGAGTTTTAAATTGAGGGTTCTTGAATTTTGAGTATTTTGGACACACTCAGATAAATAGCAAGCCAAAATGCCAAATATCCCTAGTTCATTGTACCCTAGGCCAAAATTTGGTGAAGGCTCATTAATGCACTTGACTTAATTCCGACCCTTTTCATCTATTAGTATATATATCAATTTCATGACTGTGGAAAAATGTCCATTTCTAGTCAAGGTATAGATCTTGTATTTCTTTATTCTTTACGACTGAGCATTATTTGTATCAAGAGCAGTAGTCTATAAGACTATAACTGCATAAGTGCGAAAAGAAGAGATCAATTCATCAAAGGGTTTCAAGGTTTGATCCAGGAAATATAATGCTGGGGCGGCTTTGCTGGAAGCATGAAAAGAATAGGTACATATGTTTATTGCCTTGTTCTTTTCTGTAACTTTTGCTTCTTTCAGTTTGAAATTGTGTTTACAACTACTGAAAAAGAGATCTTACTTCAATTCAAGGGAAACATTTCCACTGACCCATTCAGTAGTTTGACTTCATGGGATCCTGTTAAAAACCCTTGCCAAGATTACAGTGGTGTGTTCTGTAATTCAGATGGAAATGTAGTAAAGATTCTGTTGTATAATACTGGGCTTGTGGGAGTGCTTTCTCCTGCTTTGTCAGGGTTGAAATCCTTGCGCAGTCTTACATTGTTTGGGAATGGATTTACTGGAATTATTCCCAGGGATTATGGCAAGATTGAATCTTTACGGAAGATTAATTTGAGCTCAAATGCTTTATCTGGCTCAATCCCAGAATTTCTTGGGGATCTACCAAATTTACGTTTTCTTGATCTGTCCAGAAATGAGTTCTCAGGGGAGATTCCTTCTGGAATGTTCAACAGTTGTAGAAAAGCACGGTTCATCTCGCTTTCGAATAATCACCTTTCTGGTCCGATTCCTGCAGCAGTTGGGAACTGCCAGAGTTTGGAAGGGCTGGATTTATCTTTTAACAGTATTAGTGGCATTTTACCTTCACAGGTTTGTGGTATACCTGGAATGGTATACTTGTCTTTGAGAAGCAACCTGCTCGATGGAAGTGTTCAAGGACAGCTCTCCACCTGTCAAAGGTTAGAGCTTTTGGATCTTGGAAGCAACAATTTTACTGAAACAGCCCCCTTTGAGGTCCTTTCTTTGGCGAACCTTACATATTTCAATATTTCAAGTAACCAGTTTCAGGGCGGGATTCAGAATATTGGAGTTTGTAGTCAAAGATTAGAGGTTCTGGATCTTTCAGGGAACGGCTTTACTGGAGAAATTCCGCCAAATATTGCAAAATGCAGTTCACTGAAGTATATGGACTTGGGATATAATAGGCTTACTGGAACTATACCAGTTGAGATTGCAGATCTTGAAAACCTTGTGCTTATTCGCTTGGCGAGTAATTCTATTACAGGCACAATCCCTGCCCCGTTAGGAAGTATAGAGTGGCTTGAAGTTCTGGATTTGAGTAATCTCCACCTGGGTGGTGAAATCCCTGACCAGATATGCAACTTCAGGTTTCTTCTTGAGATGTGAGTTTAACCACCATCTTGTTTATATATAAAAATTGAGTTTTGTCCACTTCTAGTCCATATACTATTGTGTCATGTTTTTGGTATCCGTCTTGAATTATTCCACTTCTAGTCATCTAAGTATTGTCACATAGACACTTTGATACTCGTATTTGGATTTTCCCACTTTTAACCCTTCGGCTACTGTGACTGTAACACTTTTAGTCATCCAAATATTGCCACAGTGAAAATTTTGGTACACTTTTTTTAATCTCATCACAGTATTTGGAGGCCCAACAGTGTGTTTGCCACAATATTTAGATAACTAAAAGTGAGAAACTTCATAGAAGGGTACCCAAGGTATCTTTGACATAATAGTTGGAATTGAGAAAAATGAAAGAATTGAAATGCTTCCAAAAGTATCTTTGTCACAATGGTCAGATGAATTATACACAAAGGGGATTGTGCCTGTAATAGAATTAAGCTTAATTTTTGCTGCAGGGATATCTCAGAGAACCTCATAAAGGGGAAGATTCCACAAAAGCTATACAACATGTCATACCTAAAGATTCTTGACTTGCACCACAACCAGATTGATGGGAGAATCCCCGCGACAATAGGGAATCTGTCAAACTTGAATTATTTGGACTTGTCAGAAAACCAGTTAAGCGGTTCAATCCCAAATACTCTTGGGAACTTACGAAACTTAACTCATTTCAATCTATCATACAATCTTCTATCTGGAGAGATCCCTTCAAATAAGACCATCCAGAATTTCGGGCCCTTAGCCTTCTCAAACAATCCCAATCTCTGTGGGTTTCCGCTTCATTCATGCTCTAACACTTCTCTAAAAGGCAGGAAGCCCAAGTTGAGTGCTTCTGCAGTGGTTGCCATTGTCGCTGCGTCTGTAATTCTTACTGGTGTCATCATAATAACCATTATCAACATGAAGGCTAGGAAAAGGAGGAGAAGACTGGAGGAGACCATGATTGTTGAAAGCACTCCACTTGCTTCGTCTGATTCAAATGTCATTATTGGAAAACTTGTGCTTTACAGCAAAAGTCTGCCATCAAAGTATGAGGCATGGGAAGCTGGCACAAAAGCGTTGCTTGACAAGGAGTGTCTGATTGGTGGGGGATCAATTGGAACAGTTTACAGAGCCAGCTTTGAGAATGGGATTTCAATAGCTGTTAAAAAGCTGGAGACTTTAGGGAAAATCAGAAATCAAGATGAGTTTGAACAAGAAATCGGACGGCTGGCAAACCTTGAACATCCCAATATCGTCCATTTACAAGGCTACTACTGGTCTTCTAATATGCAATTAATAATGTCAGAATTTGTTCAAAATGGAAATCTATGTGATAATCTACGTGGACATAATTATCCAGGAACCAGCACCAGCATTGGCAACCCTGAATTGAATTGGCCTAGAAGATTCCGGATTGGACTAGGAACAGCAAAGGCACTGGCTTTCCTTCACCATGACTGCAACCCTTCTGTTCTTCATCTCAACGTGAAGTCCACTAATATACTGCTGGATGAAAACTATGAGCCCAAACTATCTGACTATGGTTTGGGGAAGTTACTCCCACTTCTTGACAATTACGGACGAACCAAATCCCATAATGCAGTTGGGTATATTGCTCCAGAGTTAGCTCAGGGTATTCGAGTCAGCAACAAGTGTGATGTTTATAGCTTTGGAGTTGTGCTGTTGGAGTTGGTTACCGGGAGGAACCCTGTGGAGAGTCCAACAGAAAATGAGGTTGTGGTTTTGTGTGAATATGTTAGGGGGTTGATAGATAGAGGTGCTGCTACGGACTGTTTTGATACAAGTTTGCGTGGGTTTGTAGAAAATGAGTTGATTCAAGTAATGAAATTAGGGTTGGTTTGTACTTCTGAAATACCTGCTCGAAGGCCAAGCATGGCTGAGGTTGTCCAGGTTCTTGAGTCCATCAGAAATGGTTAAGAGTCAGAAGAGGCAGATGCATGACTTGAACTACCATAAGTATTTTTTTTATATATAAAATGCTACGTCATATTCTTTGTATTTATTTTTGTAAGAAAATATTCCATCTGTGAATCATAACTCGTTTTTTTTCTTCTTTTCGTGCACGACTATGATTTCTTGTTGCTTCTCGTGTCTTCTGGTCACTTATCTGGTGAAAATCATCTCGAACTTGTAAAGAAAGGATCAGATATGTAGTCGGGCGGAGTATGAGTTACAAAAGATCTATGGTTGTGCACCAAAAGTGGAAAAGTGAAAGTTGAGAATCAAAAGGGGATGACAAAATAGTCGTGGGGGCAAAAGTAGAGTGTTTTCATTTTGGAATTATGTATCAACTGTATTTTGAATTCCAAAATAAGGCCCTTCGTAACCGTATAAGTTGTAACTAGTGGAACCCGGCCACTTGAATAAGGAAATTGGAAAGTCTCTTATGCTGTTATGCATATAGACAATATCTATATTCACACCTATGCCAACTACTTCATTACATTTCAAAGTAGTAATTGTGCACAGGAGTGAAGGCATGGAGGGACATTGTCAAAGAAGCAATAAGTAGACTTCTCATAATTTCGGAACCAGCTTTTGTGATCTAATTTCGCATCATCTGACACTGGTAATGACTTAAATTGAGTTATTCGGAGTATTAGTTTATGTATTTATTAGAATGATGTTGAGAATGCCATCATGAAATACATGACGTGTTAAATGTGAGTTTGAGTTGTTCTGTAAGCTTAAGTCTAATTTCGTCAAAAAATGGAGTGTGAAGTCAAACAAATTCTGTAACGGTAAGTTAGAAACATGTATGTAAGTTATCACAGAAGAATTATCTCCTTTGAATTGTTTTTCTGTTTGCTTAATGGTTTTACTGATCTTTGAAGTCTATTTTCCGCTACTTGTTTAGCTCAATAGGCATATTTGATAAGGTAGATTAGTCATTAGTAGGTGTTCGTTCCATGTCTGTTAAAGTTCAAAGCTTTTTTTCAGGGATCTATATATACAATTGCTGTTATGAATTATGGTGGCCCTTCTAAACATGCTTGCATTTGTGGTAACAAAAAGAGTAAGATCAGAGTAAGATTTTCCTTTCCCCAGCTTTGTGATTTCAAATTTCTTAGTGGTGATGCATAAATTGTTAAGTATAGCACCTTGTGGTGGGTCAAGTCATGATTTGTGGTTAAGAGTGTACATAGGCCTTTAAGCTCCGTGATAATTATCCTTTGGATCAAAGTTTTTTACTCTGAAAGGTAGCTAGTACATTTCCTGCTTGACGAAATCCTTAGCGAAAAAAGGAACTATCCATACATTTTCGAATCAAAATAAAGAATGTAAGGGCCCGTTTTTTGACGGAGACATTTTTCAGTTTTATTTTGTTTTCCGTTCTCCAATTTTCTGTTTTAATTTTCCAGTTTTTCTATCTCCATTAATATGTTTTCATTTTCCGCTTTTCCGTTTTCAAATCTGAAAACATGTTCATCATTTTTTTTTCACCCGGTTCTAAGACCGATCAAAAGACCGAAAATATGGTTCTGGTCAAGAACCGAACCTAGTATAGCCAAGTAGGGTGCCCGGTCCCGGGTACAGAAAAGTTGGGAGCAAAAGCGGCCAGTCACGATCGGTCCTAGCCGCTAGGTTGACTATTTCTTTTTTAGTTTCCCTATTGGTTGACAACTCAACGACTCTTTTGAAACTCTTCACACTGAGATATAATTTAAAAAATGGAGGCCGAACAATCGGCTCATCAGCCGGCCTAGACATGGACCGTCGGGTGACTGACTGGATTGGCCGGGCCTGGGACCGCCCAATCATCGCCAGGTCGCTGACCGGCTGGACAAGGACCGTCACGTCGCTGATCAGACTGGACAGGCACCGTCCGGTCATTTACCAGACCAGACAGAGACCGTCGGGTTGTTGACCGGACCAGATAGGGATCACGGCCTCACGGGGTCGTTGATTGGACCGGAGAGGGATCACCTAGTTGTGGATGGGACCAGACAAGGTTGTCGAGTCGTTTGCCGGACTGGACAGGGACCGTCGGGTCGTTGATCGGGCCGAACAGGGATCACTAGGTCGTTTACCAGACCGGACAGAGTCCGCCAGGTCGTTGACCGAAGTGGGTAGGGACCGTCCGACCGTCGAACGGATCGGACAGGGACCTCCGAGTCCTTGAATGGATCAAATAAGGATTGTTGGGTACAGACCAGACAGAAACCGTGGAATCATTGATTGGATCGCCCGATCATCGATTGGACCGGACAGAGACTTCTGAGTCGTTGACCGGATCATATTGGGACGGCAAGATTGTTGACCGAACCAAACAAAGTCCGTCCAGAGTGGAGTCGGTTCCACTACTAAGCATAAGTGTGCAATTTCATTGCAACAACATCTGCGTATTTCAGATTTGGAAAACTAATAAAACTCAATTCTCCACTTCATTAAGCAAGATAGATACATATCTCATTTGTTTGTTTTGGAAAATGATTTGGTAAACGTGAATATATAAGGAAGGTTTGTCGTAGAACAAATACTATAATAGATTAGGAAGCTTTGCCGAAAAAGCAAAGTGTGTCAAACATTGTGATAAAAGGGAGTGTTTCCTACGGAGTAATATTTATGGATGAATCTATCATCTATGCATTTAGCTTCTTCATTTTGATTTGGATTTGACATCGTTACTACTCCGTATTACTATTGTAGATTTGTAGGGTGGAATTTTCTATTCAAAACTCTAATTTGCTATGTAGTCACCCAATTAAAACATCAATGATTGTTGTTGTACACAAAATTTTTATACATGTCACACACATTTATACATAATTTTCTGTGGACACAGACAATTGCTGTACAAACTACCCGAGTACCTATGTACACATGCAACTAAAGGATGTGCGCATTTTCTGTGTGAACAGACAATTATGTACAAATGTGTGCAAAATGCGTACAAATATGCACTACCTCCGTCCCCCCTAAGATTGGGACAAATGAGATAGTGGTGCACTTAATAAGAAAAGTAGAGTTATGTGGTTGATAATGAATTGTAAAGTGGGAATAAAGTAAAAATGAATTAGAGTCACACAAATATTACCAAATATGGTATGAGACAAATTTAGTAAGACGAACGGAAAATGAAAAATGAGACAATTATAACGGGAAAATGAGAGTAATATATAAAAACTTAAATATGGATCACGTCAATATAAAAACAACATATAAACTCTATCAATATTGTTTTTCTTTACATTCCAGCACCGTCAATAAAATATACTCAACATTTTTTACATATCAATTTAGTCAAACATGAATTAAATTACTATACTCCCTTCGTTCTTAATTATATTAATAGTCTCCTTAGTTTATTTTTGTGATTTTTAAGAAGAAAATAGTAAGGATAGTATATAGGGTGTAAGGTAAATGAAAAAGTAGGAAAATATATTAAGAAGAGTAAAGTAATGACAAAGTAGAAAAGAGAAAATAGTATGTAAAATGGGTAATAAAGTGAGAGTATAAAAGTATTTTAATTTGAAAAATCTTACTAAAAAGGGAAGATAGACAAATAATTAAAAAACTTCCCAAAATGAAATATGAGACAGTTATTAGAGAACAAATGGAGTAACTTATACTCGTTCCGCCCCACTAAGATTGTCCAAGTTCTTATTCACTTGGTCAACACAAATCACTCTTAATCACTCTTATACACCCGGTCCAATTAAGAAAGACAACCCATTTAACTAATACCACCTAATTTTTTTCGGTGGCAGTTTTGTAATTTAAGTGAAAAAATCACGGCTTTCTCTAAATGATAGTGTACTTTTAGTGAGCATCTGACCTATTCTATTGAGTTTTAGGAGGCTAACAATGAGTATCACGATCTCTGCTTCATATCTTCTAATTCAATTTTTTCCTTTTATAAAACATTATTAAATTATATCTATAATACACTCCTATGAATTTCAATATGCGAATTTAATGTAATATGATACTTTTGAAATTTGCATTGATATGACATTTTAAAATAAGCGTAACATCAATACCAAATGAGCATACGTAACTTGCAAAATGTTCATTGATATGAAAATCATAATGTTTGTTAGACTAACATGACGACATTTTCGTTGAGAATCAAACCTCCTCTATTGAGATGAAAGTCACGGTTTTTGTTAAATGAACATTAATGAACTTTTAATGAGCATCAGACCTATTCTGTTGAATATTAGAATTCCAATATTAAACATCGTCAATTCTGCTTCATAACTTGTGATTCACTTTTTTTTTGTTATTTTTTTTATAAAAACTTATTAAATTATATCTATAATCAAGACTTATGAATTTCATTATGCGAATCAAATATAATAAATATGCCATTTTAAAATGAGCATACAACCAGTATAGAATGAGTATACACAATTTACAAAATGAGTATCGAAAAATTCAAAAGCTCATTTCAAATCTCCAATCTGCTCAAATGTTCATTAATGTTACATCAATGCACATTTACTTTAAACGGTATACTCAATATCCTATAACACAATACTCATTTTAATAGCCTCCACGAGTACTCATTTTAGAATATTGATATATTATATCAATACACATTCCCTGTAAACATTATACTCATTTGAGTATAAGATAAAACTCATTCAAAAGTATATTATTTGCAAATAGCCTTAATATGATTAATTCTTTTACTTAATTATGAGTATATTTTATAATGAGAAATATTAGGAAAATTTATTTATAGTAAGTAGTTTTTATACAAATGCATCAAACAATGAAATAATTCATCAAGATAGGAATGAACATTCACTTTGGATTTTTTTCATGCACTTGAAGTGCCTTACAATCCAACAAGTCTCTTACGGAAGTTTCATGCTCATATCAATGTTGAGTAGTGAAACTAGTAACATTAAGCTAAATACTTATTCAAGTATGTCAATAAAGGGCATGCTATTATCACAAATACATTATATATGAAAACAGTCGAATCGGTAACAAAGCAGACACAATTGATGAGATTAAGATGTACTACAATTAGCAGTACATATCAGCGTGTGAAGCAATGTGGAGAATTCTCTCATTGAATATACATTATAGGACACCACCAGTTGAAATACTATGTTATCATCACTTATTGGATAAGCAAACTGTCATGTACAGAGAAAGTGACCCCATAGAATCCATCGTGAAGATAAGGGGAAATCAACACACTACTTTGACATGTTGGTTTGAAGCGAATAAAAAATATGATGAGGCAAGACCAGAAAAAGTGGAAGATTCAAAAAAGAGGCAACACAATAGGTAGGATACATAATATTCCACCAGCATCTGGTGATATATGTGAATCTTACTTAATAGAGTCAAAGGTTGCATGAGTTCATTCGCACAATTGATGGCGTTGAGTATTCAAATGATAGGAAGCATGCTATGCATCGGGATTGATTAACGACGACTGTGAATACATAGAAGCGATCAAAGATCGAGGTCAATCTTTGGGCATCTTTCAGGTATTTGAGGTATTTACTTTTTGCTATGCCACTTTTATATGCAGTCCATAGACTTCACAATGTCTGGGAATCATGCTGGGAGATGATGATCGAAGATTACATGTACTGCCTTTCGACAGGTTCAAATCGTGCATGTAAAGTAATTTAATTTTTTTTAGATCTAACTATAGAATCAAACACTCATATAATGTCTTAATAACTACTATACATCAAACATTCATAATATAGAGGACTTCAAGAATAAATGTCTCGCATATGTTGAAAGAATATTTCAAAGGAACATAAAAAGTCTTGCAAAATTTTGAAGGTATGGCGAAACCGGATGCAACACAATGTAAAAATTAGCACGAAAGCTATCACATCTCATTGACGAGTTATCAGATGGGCAAAAATGTATTTATATGGACATCATTAAAGTTGTGCGTAGAAACACCGGAGGTAAATGTAATTTTTAATTTTGAAACCGTGTGTTAATATGGACATGGTTAAATTGAAAACAATTTATAAATTTTAATATATTTACAATTTGTCACGTAGTAAATCATACTTCCTCTTTTACATAAGGTTTATCATTGTCTACGGATATGGTGAAAATGGATAAACGTTTTTGTGGAATACTATGACAGCATCTATCAGGAGTGAAGGAAATATTGTTCTTGCGGTTTTGTCAAGTGGAATAACGTCATTACTATTGTCTGGAGGTGGGACAACACATTCCAGATTTTCTATCCCACTGAACATCGCTGAAAACTCCAACATCAATATTAATCAATGAATCCCCAAGACAAAGCTCCTCCAATCCACATCCCTAATTATATGTGATGAAGCATCAATGGTGTACAAACATTGTTTTGAGGCCTTATATATGACTTTTAAAGACATTATGAGCCTGAGTTATCCAAGTAGTGCAAATCGACCATTCAGAGGGAAGGTTGTTATTCTTAGAGGAGATTTCCGACAAATATTGTCACTCATTCAAAAGAGGGAAAAAGTTGAAGTGGTGATGACAACTATCAACTCTTCTTATCTTTG